TCTGCCCAAACAGGTAAAGCCACATCCCCACGTTGTCCGCATTGAGGACTGTAGCCTCTTTACATTGGGGTGCATGAATTAACCGCTAAGTCACTGGTGCCCAAACATAATACAATTGAACAGCCTGGCTGCTGCATAACTCTTTTTGGCCTGAAAGTGAGCCGATTTATGTCAGAATACTGGAGAAGGCACCAACCATAAATCATGCTTTAGTGTTATATAATATTCATCCCATTAGTCCAATGTTTTTGGCTTTCCTCCTCAAATAGCACTTTCTCTGATTACAGCAGCAACTTCAATCTTCAACACATTTCACAACGCCTAGTTTGAGATTTCCCTCTCCAAAGATTCGATGAAGGTCAGTTTGTGTTTTACACTGGAATGTCTTTCAAGGACATCAGAATCATTTTTAACTTTGTGCACTAGGGTAAGGATAAACAAGGTAATTTCACTGCTTGTGGGTTTGAAGACAGTTTTCTTTTTTAAATTTAACATTTGAACATGTGCAAGTTTTGTTGCCGCAAAGCAGCCTTCTCCGTTCATAACCTTTTCCCCTGAGATTGGAATAAATCACCACATGTAAATGTCTCTAAAAAACATATTCACTGTTCCTCTTTCCAGCATATAACTACAACTGATATCTGCATATGATAAGAAAACAGAAGTGGATTAAACGATTGCTGTCTGTTTTTATAGATTGCATGTTAACACAAACAGTACAGCGCTTGATCTCTAATAACAATCAGTCTTGGTTGTATCCCACACAATTTTGATCAAAATGTAACTCTTTAAACTGAGTATTGGTCTCTTCATGTTCATATGACTTCCTCACTGACCATTTCAAACAGTTAAAGTGTCCCTTGGGAGACCCTCATTGTGTTGGCCCTTGCTTGTTGTAAACCTGACAGCACAGAAATAGTTGTACAGAAGTCATAAAAGCAAGCAGGTAAAAGGTTTCAAACAACTGTCTTTTTATTTATCTACATATACCTTGTCAATCACCATCTTTAGAGAGGTGTTATGTTGGATTAAAGTCAGATAGTGAAATAAATGGTTTCAAACTGACCCTAAAATATGGCATCCTAAAGGTTAAGGCTGGGAGGATATACATTTTTTATAAAGCTGACTGAACATCAAATGTTCAATGTCCTCCTTTACCTATTTCACATTTAACCATCTGCAGTATTATGTTGTGAAGGCTGTGAATGTTGGATCTGATGCCTTTCATTGGCAGAGCGTAGTGGGAGGGAGGGAGTGTAGACGTGGATGATAGAGTTTAGGTAAAAATCTTGACAATGAAGCAACCTCTGATATGGAAACGTCACTCTGATGTAGCTGTCTGAAAGGGTGCTGTATTTGGCTACAGCGTGACATTGACACCAAGATGATCTTGTGGGCTGTGTATGGTCATTGCAGTTGGCTGTCGCGTCACTCCACCAGGCCAAGTCCTGACTCATTGCTGCTCGCACTGCAGCATTCTGCGTCTCACTTATCTCCATGTCCATTATCTCAACAAGCATTCCCCTTAAATCTGTACTGACTGCCCCTCTGTGTATGCCAGTGTTGCTGTCCTTACCTCAATGCAAACTCAGGTACATTTAAAGATGAAAACTACAGACAGCATGTCTCCAGAGATGGCTACAACTTTATTTCAGACTAAATTATTGGATGAATAATCATTTAGGGCGTCGTCTCTCAACTGGAAGGTTGGGGGTTTGATCCCCAGCTCCTGCAGTAACATGTTCGATGTGACTTTGGGCAAGACACTTAACCCCAAATTGCTCTGACGTATGCAGTCTTTAGGAGGGTATTGAGAGCAAACTCTTAAGTTAAAGAAAGAATATGCAACTTTTTGATCCAGCAGATGTCGCCCTTGAGCACCAGCATGAAACCAAAACAACTCAAGCTTCATTGTTGTGTTAGCATGCTAATGCTAGTGATCTTTAGTTTGCTCATAGCTTCACACTGCATGTAAATTTACACGAAAATACCTTGATCTAAAAACGCTTACGTGACATTCAAATAAGCAGTGAGTACAGTTTGTTATTCTTCTTTTCTTACTTCCTGCTTTCTTACAGTGCAGACGCTTTTCTTCTGGCTCTCTGCTTTGCTTACATTCTTTTGTTGATATCTTCTTTTTTCTAAACCTAATTTAATCGACAGGTGTTCCTGGACATTTCCAAATCCTCAGGACTGTATTTTTTGATAGATACAGGAGGTCTTTAGCCATATTTTTAACATTGACCTCTGCATCGCTACACTGTGACTGTGGCACAAGCCTGTGCTGCAGTACTTTGAAACGCTGTACACAGCTAAAGCTAATCAGCAACAAGATGCCTCCCTTCTCCAAGGACGATTACCACAAACTTCTTCAGAAAATTGCAGTGCTGGAGACAAAGATGAATCACCTAGAAATGAATGTGGAAGTGAAAGGACTGTGCGGGAATGACACCACATTACCACTAACTCAGAATAGTGAACAAGAGCAAGTTAACACACGGCTAAGGAGCACAGACTTACATAAAAGCACTGGGTAAATGCATAGAGCAAATCAATGAGTGGATGTGCAAATATTTTCTCCAGCTCAACAAAGACAAAACTGAGGTTGTTGTTTTTGGGGCAAAGGAGGAGCGACTAAGAGTCAGCACACAGCTTCAGTCAGTAAGACTTAAAACCACAGACCAGGCAAGAAATCATGGGGCGTAGTGATGGACTCAGACCTCAATTTTAAAAGCCACATTAAGACAATTACAAAGTCAGCCTACTATCACCTGAAGAACATATCAAGAATTAGAGGACTTATGTCCCAGCAGGACCTGGAAAAACTTGTCTATGCTTTTATCTTCAGTCATCTTGATTACTGCAACAGTGTCTTTACAGGTCTGCCTAAAAAATCAGTCAGACAACTGCAGCTGATCCAGAACGCTGCTGCTAGAGTCCTCACTAAAACCAAGAAAATTGATCACATCAGTCCAGTTCTGAGGTCCTTACACTGGCTCCCAGTCTGTCAGAGAATAGACTTTAAAATCCTGTTGCTGGTTTAAAAAGCGCTTAAAGGTTTAGGGCCAAAATACATTAGTGACCTCCTGATTAATTACGAACCATCCAGACCGCTCATGTTGTCTGGGACAGGTCTGCTCTCTGTCCCCAGAGTCAGAACCAAACATGAAGAAGCAACGTTCAGTTTCTATGCACCTTATATCTGGAACAAACTCCCAGAAAACTGCAGGTCTGCTGAAACTCTTAGCTCTTTTAAATCTAGGTTGAAGACTCACCTGTTTACTGCTGCCTTTCATTAAACAATTTTAATAAGATTTAAAATTTTAACTCTGCACTGTAACTTTTAACTTTATATTTTTACTTTATTTATTTCAATTAATTTCATTTGAATTATTTTTATTTGAACATATGTTCAGATTTAATAATTCCAGGGATTTCTATTTTAATGTTTCTTTTCTTTCCTCTGTCATGATGCTTTTGATGTCTTGTGTGAAGCACTTTGAATTGCCTTGTTGTTGAAATGTGCTATATAAATAAACTTGCCTTTTCTTTAGTCCCTAAATCAAACAACTTTTATACGTAAGGGGTCTGAGCCTGCCGGCAGTCCCGTTCATGTAATCACAATGTAGGTACGGCTCAGACAGCAGGACTTGGGTGTCACACTCATTGTAGACAGTCATGACTGACCGAGTTATTTTCAGAGGATATACTTGATTTCTGCTATATTTATGTGTAAAATTTCGCATATTCAGCCTTTAATGGCCTATTAGCCTAGACTATGTGCATATAGAATTATGTACTAGTAAGTGCTTTATAATGATTATTAAGCAGCTAGTATGCTACTAGTTAACATGATAATAAGCAACTAGTTAATGGTGAACATTGTCTGACTTAATTTAAAGTGTTACCAGTAACTGCAATTATTTAGACTGTTTGACTAAAAACTGTTTTAACATGTCAGTACAACTTCAAAATCAGCTTCATTGGCCAGGGTTCTTTTTGCATACAAGGAATTTAAATCTTTTTTACTTTGCTGTCTATGTACAATCATTAAAGGTCACATTTTATGCAAAATACATTTTATCATGCTTTTGAACCACTAATATGTGTCCCTAACCTGTCTACAAACCCCCCAATTATGATAAACGTCCCTCATCTCTTTCTTTTGCTTGCTCCACTATTCAGGAAATGTGTGCTCAAAGGCTGTTAAGAGCTTTTCACTTTGTGACATCACAAAGGGCAGTAACCCCTCCCCCAGGTGGGTGACGCTCCCACAGCTAGGTGTTTGTTCTGCCCTGAGTCTGCCTTCTAAACGTAAATAATCAGGAATGGAGTGAGAAAGCCACAGTCACCCAATCCTTTCTAGAAGGGCGTGGTATAACACAGCTCATTTGCATTTAAATGGTACAGACACAGAAACAGTCTGTTCTGAGCAGAGCTGAAATAGAGGGGTTTTTACAGGAAACTTAACAGAGATTTTTGGGTAGCTCTGAGACTAATTTAACTTGGTGAAAAGGCAGATAATATCTGACCTTTAATATTTAAATATGAAATCATTAAAACTAATATATACAAGCCTAAATAGTACAATAGTGCAGTTGTCAGGAGTGCAATAGATGCTGAAAAAACATTGATAATGTAATGATGCAACAGATATAAACACTATCAGGTTTATTTTTTAAACTTTATAAGTGACACAATACCTGCAAAACCAACAACGACCCACGAGCTCCAGCTTAACATGTTATTTAGTGTTGATTAATAATTTAAGCAAGCTAACTGAATCTGCAAATAGTACATTGTTACCGTTGCTTGTTGTTACCAAATTTCACAAGTATTAGTAATCTAAGCAGTTTTAAAGCATGTTGCATCCAATATGTAATATCTGTATCAAAGTAAGCAGAAACTCCTGTGGCTTTCCTTACTTTCTCAAGTTTATACAGTATGGGTACAATCTACCATGGGTTGGTTTTCAGAAAAGAAAAAAAACTATAGGCCAGTCATTTTCACCCCATTTTTTTTTATTTATTTGTGCAAAGCAGAAAAGAAAATTTACAGCCAAGGTCAATTCTATGCTGCATTTCACCCTTAAACATCTCATTTACAAAGACTTTTGTGTAAGTACTCGCGCACTGAGTATAGCTGCATGAATAGCATAGTTATCACTGATGGTTACATGACAGTAGATGCGTGTGATATGACCAAACAGAATGTTTTCTCACATTATCACAATGTACTCTCTCAAGAATGATAAGATACAAGTTTATCATTTATGAATAATCATTAGCATGGCCCTCTTACTTTTTGTAAGTGAATAGTACATACAATAAATCACAAGTATTGATGGAGTGAGGGTGTTTGTTATTCTCTATGGGACTACAAACCACATTGATCAAAATTTAAACTTCTTTCGGTCCAAAGTACATACGATACTGAATGCAAAGTTACAATTGTGGAATGTATGTTAGCTACAATTTCCGTATTTCTACAACAAATATCAAAAAGATATGGGAAAAGAAAACAACATTTAAATAGAGATAGAATGTACTGGAAGGTCAGGGGCAAATGATACACTGCAAAACTGAAGAACGGTAAACTGGATACAATTTAAGACACAGCCCCTGAAGGCTTTGAGCAACAGAACAAGTTTGAAAGTCAATACTTTTGTCTGAAGATGGGTGCACAAGTAACACTTTGAATCATTTAAGTACTCTGGTACATTCCACAACACATGCGGCCGCTGCATCCTTAGTCCCATTTCATCTCAAAATAAATTTAAACTCTAAATTTAAGTGCGTCTCCAAGACAAATTAAACCAAACAATAAACAACAGAATGCATGTAAAATACATTTTCATTAAAAATCACAGTTCAACAAACCCATAAACATCAAAATATTACATATTGTGGGTTTTTTTTCATAGTTCACAAATCAAAAGTGCCACAGTGGACATTCAAAAACCTTTGGATGGTTCCAGTATCGGGTGACAGGTGTTGTGATCTGCTTAAACTCAACATCCAGCTTAGTTCCCTTAAATCAGCATACACTGTATAACACTGTGTATTCTCTCTCTCACACCAAACATGAGGTAACAACTATTGTACACGTCACAAGAGTCAAATGTTTATTTTTGGTGGCTCCTACATAAACAGGAAAATGACCTGACGTGTTCTGCTCCACTAAACAGTAATGAGGAGGGATATGCAGCCAAGACTTGTATAGGTAATGTCTTGATGGGACGGGGAATAATCGCTCTTGTGTATACATTTGAAAGAGAGAGCCTCACTCTCACCCTCTCTCTTCATAAACACATATCCCACTGCAAAGAATGCAGAGCTTTTGAGCTTAACCTGCCAGGACACAATGTGTCTCTGTTTCAGTGGTTGAGTCTTGTTTAAATGTGCACAGTGGAGGAGTGGTTTCACCATTATGGAGCAGGCAATGACCATGATATGACGTGTGTGTGAGTGGATTTGACCAAGAGATTAACACCAGTGACTCAGCTCTCCTTAGCAGAGAACCTTTTACACTGAAAGACACAGTAATGTCATACAGTAGTGACAGTCCAGCTACATCTTATTCAAATAAGTTATTAGCTGTGTGGTATGATGTAAGTGCTTGTGTCATTATTTTGTTTTTTGGATATGACGATGAGGCAACTTAGCAGTAGGCACTTCCGCCAGAAAACCAGTGACATCACCAAACAATCCATTACTTCAATAAAGAAGGATTGTCGTGTGTAGTCTGTGACAGTATGTTTCTTCAATGCAGTGATAAGACTGAACGTTAAAAAAAAACAAAAAACCGTCAAATGGAATGTATTGTTAGCTAACTCGCTAACGCAGGCAGATGTTAAAACCCAGTGTGTAACCTGGATCTACTAAACAGAGTGATCATAATAATACTGTCAACAAAACAAACCTCTCTCAGTAAAAAAACAAACAAACATACAAGCGGTTGGGTAAATTCACAGTGGATAAGTGTAAATGCCACAAAGAGCTACATGCAAAGGAAACAAATGATGTGTTAATGTATTTGATTTGGATTGGGTGGAGCTACGTCAGCCACCAAGACGGGAACCTCTACTGTCCATGTTTTCCTACCAGAAGCCAAAATTAAAAATAAAAGCTCGGTCTCAAAAAAAAGAAAAGGCGCCAGTAACCATTTAGAGGAAATGCACATGAACATGTTTGAAAATACATATGTTGAATTAGAATACTGGATGCTTTCAGGTTAGCTGAGCTTAATCCATCTTGTGAAGGGGTTGCATGTGTGATAAAATAATTTAAAACAATACAAACTGCCATTGTCCTTCAAAATAAATCCACAGCACGCTGCAGATTTTTAATAGATTATAAAGCCTTTATGGCCCTGATGAAGACTTGAGTTAGTTGCAAAGTGTCACATATTCTTGAACTTATATTGCCATAAACAACAAAGGCATTTTATATCCATACAGATCGTATAGTGGGTGGTTTTTGAAGGATAGTTTTTTTCAGTTTTTTGGATTTAATTCATTTTTGACTCATGCAACGCCTTCACACCATCAATTATACAACACAACTGTGTTAGCCCTGGCCTGAAGGAATGTCAAAGACAACAATTGAAATGAAACAAACAGAAGGCGTAGACACCAATCTGACCTGTCAATCAAGTCATGATTCCACTTTCAAAGATTCAGCCCATCAGTAACAGATGGAGCCAGGTAACTGGCACATTGAGATCTATATATAATATACATATCTGGCAGCTGGCTGCTTCCATAAAGGAGGAATCTACCACGAGAAGTTCACATTTTGGTTCTTTCCAACAGAACATTTCCATAAGGGAATGATCAATACATAACATTGATGCAATGTTAACAATTCCAATCTAGCTGTAACTGAAATCCGCCTCTCTCCTGCTCAAAACGTAACCCTCATATTAGTGATATGGTTTCAATAAGAAAGACGCTCAGAGCACCTCCGACCAGTGGTGGCGGTTAAAACAAGTTGATGGTTTTTCTTCTTTTGTTTTTGGGCTCATTACAAGTTTTTCTTGTAAACTTTGAGCTGCAAAGGATTCTCTATTTTTAAGCACCTAGCCACGCGTTCAGGTTTTTGGTTTTGGTCAACAAATCACCGACAAAGACCAGCAAATCCTCACAAGGCAGGGGGTAAAAGTGAAGCATGGATTGTTACTTTAACAGCCGGCATAGCCTCCTCCAGCCGTTAGGCTAGATGTGTTGTCAGGCCATCCATTCTTCTTGCTCTGTTAGATCGCCAAAATCTTCTTTTGCTGGAAGTAGGCATCAAATCTGGCCTGGGCGTACTCCTAAGACACAGACAAGTATACATATATTATGGTAAAGCAATGGGAACGTAGAATTGAAGCAGCAGAGTGGTTATCGTGTAACAAAGCATCTTCTCAGGCAAGCATACGTGAAGTAAGGACAAATAACTCACCAATTTTAATTAAATTAAGTCTTAAAGTTACATATGTGCACATTGAGAGATGGGTGGGAGCTGAAAGCTGTGTGCAAAGAGTCAACTCAGTAAATACAGACACCACATCCCCTTCCAGGACAATACTGCTTGTCCTACTAGCTGTCTTGTAGTATATGTTTTCTTTGTCATTACACAGAAGCTTTCCCAAAAAAGAAAAAAAAGAAAAAGGAAACCCAAATTTCACTCACCAGGTATCCAAACTTGATGGTGGACAGCCGGGCCTGGATGATGGACCACAAGCCCCAGAAGAAGTGGGATGCAAGGGAGAACCTACATTGATGAACAAATGGTCACTTTGCTGCATTCCTTTCATTCTCTAGTGTCTCTTGTTGTGCCATGGTTAGTTTAGTTAACACTGGCAGCTGTGCTCACCTGTTGACTTCGACGTACAGCTGCTCCTTCAGATTCATTTGGTCCTCTTCACTCAGATTGTCAAACCCTTGGTCAGACTCACGCAGGTAGCTCTCAATGAAGTGGAGCTGTACAGAGGCACAAGTTAACACAAGTCAGTGATCGAAAGGAAAACTGAATAAATCAGATGTCATAGTATGTTAACATATTCTACACACCTGCTGGGCCTTTGAGGGGTAGGCCTGTGCATCGACTTTGAAGAAAGGAAACTCCTCACAGGTGTAGTCATACATCCATTCACAGAAATGATTGCCAATATCAAATCCCCTGTAAACAATGGGAGAGACAGAAACTATGTGAGACTGTGACAGGAGACGCTGTTACAGAAGTAAATGGTGAATGGACTTGAGCAGTACAGCACTTTTCTAGTCTTCTGACTACTCAAAGTGCTTTTAGACCACAGGTCACACCTACACATTCACACACTGATGACAGGCCGATATGTAAAGTGACCATCCGTATTAACTAATCCCACACAATACACATTACAATACACATTGCAATACACATTCACAAACCGCCAACGAAGCAGCTGGAGCAACAAGGTGTTAAGTGTCATGCCCAGGAACACATAGACATGTGGCTGCAGGAGCTGGGGATCAAACCCCCAACCTACCACTGATCCACAGCCGCCCTTTCTGTTTACATGACACAACTTTCTGTTGACATGTTATGTATTAGTCGAGGTTTGTATTGCAAAACTCCATGGTTCTGGAATGTTTAAAAGACATGAATTGTTTCATTTTTCCACATCTTATCATTTATATCAGTCCCTTTGAAACATAGTGTTTGAATGCAGCAGGTAATAAATAGTGAGTGGGTGGAGTGATGACGCGAGAGTTTTTCTGCTTCATGCTCTTCACTGTTTGCCTCAGTTGCCATTTTTACGTTTTCTACTATTGCATTTTTTTTTGCCAAAACATCTTACATGTTGTATTGATTTGAACCGAGAAACAGACGGTCATTGTTATAGAAGGCTCCTCCTCTTTCTCCTGCTCTACCCAAGCGCCATCCCTCACCTAAAGCAAACCAAGTATTTTAAGTCGCAAGAAGGGCCCAACATCGATTATGTCTTGCTGTGTGGTAACATATTTGAAAGGCAATTCTGTAATTCTGTTTTTTTTCAGGAGTTGATGTGAAACAGGCTTTTATTTTGTTTGGTCAGTTGAACATGAGATCGTGTTTGTTTACTCAGTACTTTCAAATTTCCCTTCAGCCAAATGCACTGAATTCCTGCTCTGTGTTTTATGGGTAAACTTCACTCATGCTGGTTTAGTTTTTTTTCCACTGAAAGCCCAACAAGTGAAGGAAAAGTCTGCCGCAATGTGCCTTTAGTAATCGACCCCGCTGTTTTTTAAATTTTGATATTGCTTTTATTTAGGTTTCTACAGTATCAAAGTCATTCTGAGATCCAGTTTCCTGGAGATCCATGGTTACATTATTGGCAATTTGGTAACCTTTAATGATGCCTTTTGCCATCCAAGGCCATACCTCGTAAAACCCACAGAGGTCCACTGACCAGCCAACCATAAAGCTCCTCGTAAAGTCCTGTTTGAGTTTAAAGCCTGCGTTTTTTTGTCTTTGAGTGAAAAAGCCACTATTTGAGATTTTAAAAGATCTATTCTGACATTTACTTGCACATCCAACACTATTATCAAGAGCTGCAGATGTATCCAAAACAAACCCACTCACTACACAGGAGCCTGTGAACCACCCATCCTCCACATAACAACATCTAGTTCATGTCAGTCAATGGGATAAAAATCCACAGTGTGTGTATGTGAGTCCATCTGTGGGAGTGTCCTTCCTGTACATTCATGAAGGACCATGTGCTCACATGCTCGGGGGTGTGTGTGGAGCATAGACTGTGGAGTGGGTCATTTGTGTACAGAGGGTCACGTGTTTGCTGAGCAACATTTGAGGAGCCTTAAAGGGGCCACGCTGAAATCTGCTGCAATGTGCCTTTAGTAATCGTCACTGCTGTTTTTATTTATTTATTTTGATATTGCTTTTATTTAGGTTTCGACAGCATCAAAGTCATTCTGGTATGCAGTTTTCTGGAGATCCATGGTTACATTATTGGCAATTTGGTAAAACTTTAATGATGCCCTTTTGCCATCAGAGGCCATACCTCGTAAAACCCACAGAGGTCCACTGACCAGCCAATCATAAAGCACCTCGTAAATTCCTGTTTTAATTTAAAACCTGCGTTTTTGTCTTTGAGTGAAAAAGCCACTACATGAGAATTTAATGGAACTATTCTGACATTTACTTGCACATCTAACAATATTATCAGGACACATAGAGGGAGCCTGTGAACCACACATCCTCCCTGTTTCAAAATCTAGTTCCACCCTGTACATACATTAAGGAACATGCGCTCACATGCTCAGGGGTGTGTGTGTGTGTAGAGTGGGCCATTTGTGTACAGAGGGCCACGTGTTTGCTGAGCAACATTTGAGGAGCCTTAAAGGGGCCACGCTGAAATGTGCTGCAGGGGGGTGGGAGTGTTTCTGTTTCCATGTGTGAGAAAAAGTGAGGGAGACAGAGGCAGGAATTCGTCTGCGAAAAAAAAGCGAGCCAAGGCCAGTGTGCTCTCTCTGTTTCCCAGAAATGAACTAGTCAGGAATTCGCACACCAAGGTGAAAGTACACTTGAAGTCAGTCGAAAGTGCTGAAAAGAAGCATGATCCATCTTTCATTATATTCTGCTTGATATCCAGTCTTGTGTTCAGGTCTGTGTTGGATACTCCCTGCACCATAATGACCAATAGTAACATTGACAGATTTATCCAGTGCCTCCATCCTGTGTGCCCTCATTGGCCAGAAGAATTCTGGTTTCATAACAGCAGAGTGCTGTTGCCCTGAGGTATGGGTTGGCGTTAGGAGGACATATTGATGAATCCCAGATCTGGGTTACTCTCTCTTTTCCCCCCACTCTCTGCTTCACATTATGCCTGGTAATCAGCCAAGTGCAGAGACAAAGTAAGGGGATGAGGGGTGATGATGCAGCAGTTGAAACTGACAGAGATTCATCAGCCATGTTGGTCTAGAGAGGTTGTTTGGACCAGACACTAGGACTTAAAAAAAGAAAAGCTTTTCTACTATAACCTTTGATGTTTGTGTTATCATCTCTTTCTAAGCTTTTTTTTTTTCTAGCTGTCTTATACAACTGAACACACGTACGTCTATTGCTTGGCTGTTTTCCAATAGACTCTCATAGCACATTTTGTTGTTGTTGTTTTTGCTCTGAATGCACACCTTTTGAACATTATCCCTATAATCTGTATTTATATTCTTATTTACTATCTTTTATACTATTGCAGTTTGCACCGTGGTTCAGAGAAAAAGTATTTTTCAGTTTTTCTGCATGTCCAGTATGTATGGCAAAATGAAAAAAAAAAAAGAAAAAAATATATATATATATATATATATATATAACTAATAACTTTGACTCTTAATAATCTCAAAATTTGAGAAGACTGTTTTAGGAACCTATCCCTCACCTTTAGGGTAGTCCATATGAGGGGAGGGGGAGAGAGTGGAGTTGTCTATTGTGAAGGAGAAATTGTGAATGGAATTGGTGAGGGATTTAGGGCCGATGATTATTATGTCCGATTTTGCATAGTTGAGAGAGAGGAAGTTGGTGTGCATCCATGTTTATGATGAAAGGGAGGGGACCAAGCACTGAACCTTGGGGGACGCCCTGGGACAAAGGAGCTATGGAGCAGTTACTGATGTTGATAAACTGTTGTCTGTGATGGCTGGGAGACAGTGTTTGACGAGACTGGATGGGATGGGGTCGAGAATACTGGTGGAGGACTTAAAGGTCCCATATTATGCTTTTTCTGGTTTTATATGCTCTTTAGTGTGTTTTCCAAGTGTCCTGTGCATGTTTAGGCACATCTATTTGCAAAAATTCGAAGTCCGCAGAAACCCAGCTTCTCCTACGTCCTCCTGTTAGCTGTAGCATTAGCTGCACGTAACGCTCGGTTCTAGCCCCCCTCGATAAAAATTTGTCAGTCTGACGTCATTGTCAGTGTGAGATCACTGATCTAAGCCCATTGGCTCGTTGTGGCAAGCCAGCAGCTCATGTTGCACGCCAGTTAACCTCTGTAGCACGCCCACAATATGCCGTAGCACAGTAGTGCTAAGGTGCTAATGTTTATGCTCCCCTCGGTCGGAGCCAGTGGCTGCATTCCCAATATGGTAAAAGAGGCGGGACATTTCCGAGAACCGTGCTGAGCGACTGACCAATTACGGCACAGCCGACAGGCCGACCAATCAGATCAGACTTGGCCCACGTGGGGACTCTGAACGTGGGCACTTCAGAGCCTCAGCGATAGAGTCAGAAGCGAGCCGGTGCATGGATCGGCAGTACATGAAAACAGACACTTTTTTCTGACTTTAGCTATTGTGAACATACAAAAGGGCATAATATGGGCTCTTTAATGCTAGAGGTGATGATGGATAGCTCATTTGGGGACACGGGAGAACTGAGACAGAGGTTGGGTGATGAGGCATTTCATTTTATGGAGTTTGGGAGTGTACCAGGGTGCAGAGCGTGTGAATGAGACAGTTTTAGTTTTGACATGCTTAACATGGTTCTTAAAAGAACTCTCGTGAGAAATCAGGACATTTTCTAACTTCTCAACATTTCATTTGAATAAAGTAAGAAGGGTTAGGTTCATTGTTACTCCAACAAAGCTCTATGACATAAATCAGGCTTTAGATACACAGACGATACACATTAGTAGGGCTGAGTGATTGTACATCTGTGATAATTTTTTTGCTATCTTACCTGTAATTGTAGCTACTGTACTCAAAGTCAATGAGCATCAGCTTCTGTTTGTCTGAGCTCTCGCGGCCCCTCAGCAGTAGGACATTTCCTGAAAGCAACACACAAAAGTCATTCATTTGAAGAGAAAACATAATGGACAACATATTGGGGTTTGAGCAAATCTACACTCAGCAGGTAATTTGTTCCACAGTCTGTGGGCCCAGACTTAAGAAGCCCTCAAGCCCCTTCTCATCAGTCAGCTTCAGTGAATGACTAAAAAGCCTCCATCAGCCAATCGCATTAGGCAGCTAGTATCACATGAGGTCAGAAGAGCTTAGATATTATCAGGAGCTTGGTGATGAAACACTGAGCCTTGAAGGTCAGCTGATTTTAATGCAAAAAACTGAATTTTGAAGACTATGCCAGGAGGGCAGAGTCAGAATGATATGATATTTCACTTCTGGTCATCCTAGGAGAGGTGCTTTAGATCATTTTAAGACAATAGAGGGAAACATGAAATGTTCTTCTTACCTTCTTGACAGTCATTGTGGCAGAACACTACAGGAGAGTGGGTGGACTCCAGCAGACACCTAAACGTGAACAAAACAAAAAAAGAGAGGGAATGATCATTATCTGGATTTAAAGAGCTTCAGACAAAGATAAACTGTGTTCATCACAACGACCAAACCCCCTACACTTTATTATGAAGCCACAACATCTCCTGGGCATTACCAGGGATACTTCCAGTCTGTGTTCGAATTCATAACTAATTAGCAAAAAGACATTACTAGGCACGAGCTTGGTGAATTTTAAAGGAACAGTTTAAGAAATAAACTTGGAATGGAAGAACAAGTTACTACGTGAGAACAAGTGGAATACATACTGCACAAGGCAGTGTGGTAAAGATTTATAGTGCTTAGTAGTGTTGTTGTCAAGACCAAGACATACCCGAGACCAGAGTGCTCCAAGACCGAGTCAAGACCAAGACATTTAGGATCGAGACCGAGTCAAAGAATGTCAAGAAAGTCAACCTTCACTCTGAACTGAATGATAAAACTGACCCAAACATACACAGTATAAAGTTATAAATAGGGTCGATGATTAGTATTGCAACATCTTGTTGTCATAATGCTTATATCTGAGAAGAGTAGAATTGAGCTTGGTCATATACATACTGTATACAAACAGTCAGAACATAGTCCTTCAGGTTAATCTGGGAATTTTGTCTGGTAAACACGAGCACATGAGCTTCACATTCTGAACACTCTGCTGTATTATATAACATGTTTAGAATTGTGTGTGTGTGTGTGTGTGTGTGTGTGTGTGTGTGTGTGTTTGCAGAAACATACTTGAGCATATCCACCTCCTGGGGCAGATTGTAGCTGAGCAGCCGGTTGAAGCGGCGCAGCTGAGACTCTCTGGTGAAGTTGAGCCTCATCACTTGGTTCAGGTACCTGGGGAGAGTGTTACACAAACGTTCACTGCACATTCTCCTTAAAAAAAACACACGTGTGCTTGTTTGGCAGAGTGCCCCACAAATAAGTCACTGTAGTCTAAATACATTTGAATATCACCCTGACTCACCGAGCTTGAATATCACTGACTGCTAATCAGAGGTCAGGATGAAAATATGAATTAGTAGCTCGATTAACACAGCTACAGTCACTTACTGACTTTAATGTATTAATCCCTGACATTACGGGAAATTGACAGTTTTCAGAAAAAAAGTATTAGTATTACTTCAAGGAATTTTCACAGTGATAACAACTATAATAGTAGTGACAATAATATCGGCTGTAGCAGGACTGGTAGCAGTTCCAAGTGTGTGGACAGTTGCAAAGAAGAAATTAGCTGTACTCTCATTTAGGCAAAGCAAGGTAAGGCTGATTTATTAACAAAAAAGCAAATGGCAGCATAGAGACATGATAAGGAACACAGGCAGGCAGGCCAAACACATGATTCTGGATGTGACAAGGAGACAAAATAACACAACTAGGCACCTTGTAACTTTGGTTTTGAGTGGTGCTTTTTTAATAAAATGAAAAAAAAAAGAAAATGTTATCCAGCAAATCTTGTCTGGATCTGTAATGTGTGTGTGGCTGCCTCAAAACTCACATGGTTATGAAAGGTTTCAGATATTTTTTGTTCAGATGTTTATGATGTATATGGTTACCAGCAGTGCTGGTAATCCTTCATCATTACTATGTTATATAACCCTAACCCTAGCAATGGACTCGAGTTGATAATGCACTCCACAAAAGAATGAACAGGATTATAGTGACTCATGCCTTGGTCAACACATTACTCTGCGCAAAGAAAATCACCAGTAAATAAACCAGTTGTAGTCTAGTTATAATTCATTTGCATATGATCCTGGTTTCGGACGTCCTGTCTGACACGGAAATTTACAAAATCAGGGCACATAGGTTTGTAATACGTAACCCTGAAAGATAAAGCAGAACTTATGTACTCAAGCAGAAAATCAGTGGAACAGGAAAATGGACTTTATCACCACACACAAACAGAAATTGTGAAAGAAATTCAAACAGATGTACATTATGATAAGCCACCTGCCATCTCAGGTCTCTACGATAAGTAATCAGTGACACAAATTGGTATCTTTAGTTATCAAACTTCAGTTACTGAAGGACAAGTTTCAGATCTGTTCACTCACTTATCTCAGGCTCTCATTCGAAAACCACTTTTTTTTTTTTTCGTAGACCGAGATGGGGAATGGCTAAAGATGGGGGACAGGACACATGACAATGAAATGACTCACTTGTCCATGGTTCCAAACAGCCACTTTGGCTCCTTGTTAAAGGGCATCCTCATAGCATGAAACTTAGCCATCTTCTCTGCAACCTCTGCTGAGATGCTGGAGTCGCTTAACTCACATGTGTCCAGTTTACGGCTCTGTCGAAACAATATTTCAAATATTTTAATTAATACAGAAACTGCTGATAACTGGAAATTACCATTCAACATGTAACACAACTTACAGACTCAATTCGTCATTTTTTTTTAAACTTGAAATATTGGTGCTACACATGGAGACGACTTACAGGGACATACTGCTCCAGTCGGCCCTGAGGGAAAATACCGTAGAGTTTAGGTCCCAGCTCCCTCTCCGCCAAGATCGCAAACATTACGCTCTCCAACACCATGGCCTCCGCGCCCTAAAAGCACAAAGCAGCGAGAAAAATAAGAGCTCTATATTCAAACTATGAAAACTGTACCAATCACACCACCACTAAAACCCCTTCTTAGTTCTGTGAATGCGATGAGAACAGAATGAGAACAGAGTGAGAGATTTCCTGGTCACAGTGTCTGAAAACATGAAAGTTAGAGGAAGATTTGGTTAGACAGTCAGGAATTAAACAATTCTCTCACCAGACCCACTTAGACATTAAACCAGTAACAGTTCTTTGTTATAGTGATAACTTCTTAGCTTCTGTGTTCAAGTCTCTGGTAAACATTTCAACCTGTGACGTGGAAAAAAGCATTTCAGTCGACAGAGTTGCGGCTGCTGGCTTAATGAATCTACTGGGGTGGTACCAAAACTTTTCTTTTGACCTATTGGTCATTCCCAAATTCCCAAATCAGGTAAAGTGCATTCTATTTCTTAAAGGAAGAACGTGTGACATTTTACACATAAATACAGCAGAAATCAAGTATATCCTCTAAATATGTCTCTGAGTCATGACTGTCTACTACGAGTGAGAAGCATGAGTTCTAACAGCTGTGTTGATGTCGGAGCTGCGTTCACATCATGTTAACATGGACAGGACGACCTTGTGTATAAAGCTGTGTTAGTCAAAGAATAGAGAAAAGAGGAAGAACATACTCACTGCTTATCTGAATGTCAGGTAAGTGTGTTTAGATCACGGCCATTCTGTGTCAATTTACATGCAATGTCGCCAAACAGCAGTTTGTTTTGGTTTAATACTGGCAACATCTAGTGGATCAAAAAGTTACACATTCCTTCTTTAAAATTAACAAGGTTGCAATAAAAGTCGCCTGCAAACAAACTAATCATTTCTCCATGTTTTTCATACTTTGCATTTTGACTCTTCATCATTTTTCACTATGATGCTCGTTAAAAGGTGATTTCTCAGTGCCTCAGCTACCAGGATTTACATTTTATAAGCTACTCTTTTAAAAATGAAACAGAAGAAGGTAAGAAACTTGCATACGAGCAAACACCTCAAACTTAAGGACAAATCATGTATGCAGTCGCACGAGCATGCAGGCGTCAATGCAACAGTTCCATGGGCCGATCCAATCAATGGTATATGGTGGGAACTTCAATGGCTGCCTGATCGTTGTATAAACTGTGTGATTTTATACACATCTCAACAATATGACCTCAAAGCCTTATTTTGTCAAGCTGATAATATCCAAGCTGGAACTTTTCAATTATGAGGAGATCACTTGCAGCCCTGCAACACAGTGGAATTAAGGGAAATTGAAAAACACATTTTGGGTGGTTTTTTACTTTGATAGGACAGCTGAAGAGAGACAGGAAATGTTGGGAGGAGAGAGTGGGGGATGAAATGCAGCAACGGGCAAAGGCCGGACTTGAACCCTCGGCCGCTGCGATGAGGACCACAGCCTCCGTACATTGGGAGCGTCAGAAACGTGAGGCTATCGGCGCCCCGCAATTAAGCAATCTACTTCAAAGACTTGATTTTGACAGATTTTATTAGTTAATGTACCAAATGTGTTATCAATCTGACATCTAAACTATACGTTCTATAAAAGTGACAGAGTTGAAAAGCTTGCAAGCTCAGAACAGAGTTTAGTGCATGTCTAAAAGGGGCGCAAGTGGAAGACATGGATGGAGGAGTTTAAAGAGGAGGAATGCCATGGTGTGGGGTGAGCTGAGTTTGCTTGTCAGAGCGTTGAAGGGAGCACAAGAGGTAGATTAAAACAGCCCAGAAAGAGTTGGCACGCTCAGAGTGCTGGTCACTGTTGAAGCAAGACAACCTTGTCTTTCTTCCTTTATCTTAAGAGACACACAAAACTCACATAGCCTGGAGCCCAACAGGGGGCTCAAGGTTAACTGGGAACACAAACACGAGCCCTGGAGCCTCCAAGGCTAGTGCTGTTTGTTGGCTTCTCACCAACATATTTCTTCTTTGCTTCATTGTGCTGAGAAAAGAGAAAGACTAGGCTTCTCACTAAACAGGCAGGAGTTCATTAGCAGCAGGGAGGGATGTCTGACTAATTTAACGGAACGAGATGAAGAAGCTGAGCAAGTTATTCCGCTGCTGAAAGTGGAACCTCAAAAGGTTGTATTTCTTAAGCAAGAAAAACTTAATTTCTTTACTTTTGTTGCAAGTGGAATGAAGGGCCTTTCTTCAAAGAACATTTTCTTCTTGCTGCTTTCATTTTTCTGTCTGTTTCTTCGAGACCCCTTACTTCACCGAGATGCCGCACTCAATTACAGGAGTATCCATTTATTATGAATGATTTGAGAGAATTCAGATATCGCACATTCTTGCCAACGTGTTTTTCCTACAGCAACGTGACATTTCTATTTCTACTTCTACTTCTGCTATCCTGCTTCATTCTGTGACCTTAAATAGCTGCAGTATAACATGTTGCTATCTCGACCCTCTTGAGAGAATAACCTTCTGATAAATTGCTGCAGGGGGAGAGATTTGGATGTGAGTGGTGGGGTCTTGGCTTCTTTCCAGAGAATGTGCTTCATAGTGACCGTTCAGCAGGAAGCCAGCTCAAAGGAAACAGTACTGCCTGTTTTTTCGTCTGAGATGACACACTCTTATTTTCAACTATGCTCCAAGCATCATTCTTAGAGATGCACCGATACACTTTCTTTTCTTTTTTTTACACGTTCCGATCTGATTTCCATACACATGTACGATAGATAGTTATTTTAGTAACCATAATTCATATAGTTATTAATGTCATTGGTATTAAGTGTAAGGATACAAAAAGCTGTACAAAACCCAACATTGCATTTCTTATTGAAAGAGCAAAAAATACGAAAAATACAAAGAATTCAAATTATTTCAAAGAAATGTATTCAAACTTTGTGTTGGCTTCACATACAACAGGAAGCAGCTACAACTGTAAGATTATCAAATTAAATGTTTTATACTGAAGTGTAAGAATTGTACTTTTGATCATATAGAAGGAGCTGTTCCATCTCATCTGACATTTGTAATGACGTCGTCATGGAGACGATTTGTGGGCACTTACAGTTCAGTCTGAATGTCTTCAAAGGGAGACTGTGCGGGCTGAGAATGTTAAACGTGCCCAGTGATCGTTCTTGATTGGCGACAGTCTGATATCCGACATGTAAGTTACATCAATATCAGTCCCGATACCGATATTAGATGAGATCTGTCCCATCCCTCGATAATTCTCAAAACAAAAAGTTATGTTACAATGAAAGTCAATGATGACCTTTTTTGTTTAAGATGAGAGATGTTTCTTTTGGATCATAATTGTACACTGAGCACACAAACGTGGAAGTTCATTTACTGTACCCGTTGTGCTTGTATTCAGGGAATTATTTTGAGGAACTAGACAATGCAAAGTGACAGTGAATGAATAATAAAGCCACTTCCCAGAAATCTATTTATGTAGGATAGGCTTTTTATTTTTATTTTTTACATTTACTTAAATCTTCTTCATTTCCCAACAGAAAAAAGTGCACAACAGTGTTGGCTAAAAAAAGTTTTAGTAAATGAATAAAAATCCTTAATCATAATATTCTCCAACTGAGATGTTGACATCCTGTTTTATTGATTATCCTGTATGTGTCTTTTTTCTGCTTTAATCACAGCGCATATGTGAAAAGAGAAAACTCCCCTTGGTTACGTAATGCTTTCTCTGCCGAAAGCTGATCACATGTAGTTTGAAATCGCCAACGTGATTTATCCCCATTACCATAATCATCTTGACACACATACTAGCTGACAACAAGCCAGCTGGCAGTCTGTGGGTGAGGCACAGCAAAGACTCAAAGGCCAGCAGGGATGGCTTTTAGGATTTATACCTCCCCCGACAATATTTCAGGGAGTCATTAATTAGATCATCTTGTCCTGTAGCTGTGCTGACCTGATTCTGAAGCACGAAGTCCACACATGGACTTATCTTCTGTTTCAGCACAGCTACAGATGGCTTATTCTAACCTACAATTTCAAAGAGCCAAGTCCAATCAAATAAGTATGGGAATCAGACCTCTGAAGGAATATAATGCATCTTTATAAGCAGTATGTATGACTGTCATTCACTGTTGAACTTCAGGACAGGAAATAAAATCTCTTTTAGGAAGGTTGTACACTCAATTTGATTTTAAAATGTTGCTATGAGAAGCAACTCCTTTGTACCAAACCAAATACTGAAAGAACCACTACTCATTGGATACACAAAAATGTTAATCATAAATGCGATAGTTATGGTGATACTAATTATTCTTGTGCCATTGCAATTTGCCTGTTTTTGACAAAGTCTTATGTAAGGTGTGAGTGGGACTGAAGTTGTGTCTTTGTCACAACATTATCCTCTGCACCTGGACTGTTGTTTGGCCCTTGTAGCCATTTACAATATAACCCCCCCCCCCACGCACGCACACACACATATAGTGTAAAAAAAGGTAAGTGTGTAAGCAAGCAGTGTGTAAAGTGTGCAAATATGTATAGAAGTGAATATAGAAATCTAACTGCCCATTAGTTAAAATGTTTGGGGGGAAAAGTGTTCTTTTTATTAAGATTATTCCAGATTGTTAAACTGTGTGTTTTATGTTTAGTAAAAAATAATCCATATTTATACGAACCGAGCTCAAACAATTATGTATCCATATAATGTATTATATCTAAAAGTGTGCATCTTGTTCTTTGTACTAAAAACTCATTCCGTTCGTGGATATTATGTGTTTTCTGTTAAATACATTGCTTTCGGCTGCCTTGTTTTTTAGAGACTATTTACATAATAATAAGCCTATCTTGATGGTTGTTCAGGGTTACGGTAACAGTATTTATTAATTCCAGTTCTTATCACTCCCCCCTTCTGCACTATCCCACCCTTGGTTTAGACGGATTGGACCAGTCAGAAATTAATCTGTCCCATCGCTGGTTTATTGACACAAAAAAGTACAGATAAGCATTCAGGTTAGAGCGGCAGCTGTGAGCAGCTCCCAAAGCACATGCTGCATCACTCCAAGGCCAGCCAGTAATAATCCCAGAGCCATGGAGCAGCAGTATTATGGAACCATTGTAACAATTTAGATGCAAATATTCACAACGTGAACATGAATATTATATGGAACCTACAGTTGGACCACCTATTCATTCAACGTAGGTTCTCAGACTTACAATAGGAAGTTCAGTTTCCTGTTAAAGCACAGGAAGTAGTGGGAGGGGGATGCTTGTTAGGAATGTTGAAATTCTTCAGTGCATGAATAGTGAGCTGGCGGGACATGACTTGATCTGTTGATTATTAACTTTTGAAGGAGAGGAAGACTTCTGTCAGAGAAAGAGGGCCAAATCAAACAGACTGCTACAGCAAACACTGTTCAATTTCCTCTGACCTATTTTAAATGCCAGAGTTTGATGTGACTGCCGGCCTGACACACCAGGGTCCCCATAAGAACACTGATAGGACCTCTAAACAGAAAGATGCAGGAGAATTGGCCCGATGCAATTTCTAATTCAGATTTGAGTTATCAATATTTTAAACTCTGTCTTAACAATCATCAACTACTGTGTGGCGTTCCTCAGGGTTTGATCCTTGGACCCATCTTATTCTCTCTGTTTCATGCTTCCTCTGGGTAATTATTTCATTCATTATCATGATGTTTTATATCACTGTTAAGATAATACTCAGTTATTTTCCTCTTTGAAAGTAAAATAACCCGAATAGAGATTTTTCACGACTGTTTTCACTTCATTTCCAGTTTTCTCAATTTTGTTCAGTACGTGATTTTGACCATTATGTCACTATGTCACTCATCTCTGGTCCTGTTTCCTACAGCAAGAAACAAGAAACATGTAAACTATTCAATCAATCAATCAATCAATCAATCAATCAATTTTTATTTGTATAGCGTCAACTCATAACAAGTGTTATCTCAAGACACTTTACAAAAAGCAGGTAAAATACCTTACTCTTTGTCTGTTAACATTACAAAAGAGCAGGTAACAAGACCTTACTATTGAGCTATTGATTAACACTTGTATTTTCTCCAATCTGGATTATTGTAATTTCCTCTACATGTAACTCAGTCAAGTATCTCTAAATTATTTAAAGATACAGTAGTTCAAAATGCATCTGCCAGATTATTACCTAGAATCAGCACATGGACACAAACTCAAGAGAACATGTGGAAACCTTTTGTACAGTTTCTTAAGCACGGTGACTTGGCAACTATACAATTGAAGGTTATTAGCTGGATTTAACAACAGACTAGATTTTGTTGAGACTGTAAAATACCTTTAAATTAACTACTGCTATTTTATATTTTTTTTATCTATATGCTTAACTGTAGATGGTTCAGGGTGTAAAAAGATACATTTACAGTGCTTATATCCTTATTTGTAAGTATATTTATCTGTATTCTTCTTCTAATATGTTCCTTATGTTATAAGTTGTGATGTGAAGAGGGTGAGAGGGAGTTAAGGGAAGTTTGCATGGTCTTGTAAAAGCTTCACACCTTTAAATTGGAGAACAATAAACACATTGTAAAGAAAATTATTTGATAGCTTTTCATCTACTATGCTGCTGTGACATGTGAAAAACTCCTCAAAGGGTTAATACTGGGTCTTCTTTCTAATCCATTTAGGATTACACTTGACCAGACAGGGTTTTAACCAGTCTATTGGGTTGAGTTAATCCTAAAACACTGATAGCAGGTCTTGATAGCCTCACTGCTAACTGAAGGCCAGCTGCTTCGAAAAGCCAGCAGTATAATTACGGGAAAGATGCCAAAGTGGTGACAAAAGTTTACTGACTGATGACCTCACTTGATCACGAGTTGTGAGTCAGTGTCATAATGTACGAGTCAAAGGTCCTGATCACGAGGTTGATGCGAGGGTAAGGAATGTCTACGTCGCTGAGTGAAAGGCACTGAGCTTCAGAATGCGTGGGTGGACTCTAGGTTCATGCAGCACTTTATGTTGCTTCATACTCAGGAAAATTATTCCTGGTGCTTCAACATAAACATGTTGCAGTTCTGCAGTCCGAAACCCAGTATCTAATTTCACAAAATAGGAGTTTTGACCTAAGGTTTGTTGAATGCATAAAAAGCCATCACTGAAAATATGTGACTTGAGCATTTCCCATCTCGGTCATGCTGTGCCAGAGGTTAATAAGGTTAGTAAGGAGTTTAGGCAGGTGTTAAATTGATTCAGAATTTAGGTTAAAAAACCACAGGGTTGCAAATGTTAGGCCACTTTATTGTGATATCCATGGGGGAAAAAAACGGATGCCCAAGGGTTCAAAAGACTCAGGCAGATCAGAAAGGAAACCCCGTCCCGACAGAGAGCGTTTATTTTTGGGGGAAGAAAAGAACGTTTCCAAACATCTGGAGTTGTAGTTTGACACATGAGATGGCAAGTGGTGTGATTACTGGATGGACTCACACTGTGGGCAGAGAAACATGCTTTATGCTGGAACCATCATCAGTTACTTACTTGGAAGTGATTTTCTTTGTTTGACTGTCGGGAATCCCCTTTATTACAGGACATCTATCAACAAAAGAAAAAGGAAAGAACTATCCATGAATACATGTGAAGCCGTCTATAAGGGTCAACATCCACACGTGAACATGCCTGCAGGGCAGACAGAACATTATGAGTTCAAACACACACCAAGTCTTTTGGATATGAAAGTGCAGAGAGGATAGGTCGAAACAAATAATGGTGTTCATATTTATTACCATAGTGCAAAGACAGTTTATAATCAGGGCCTAAAATTAAACCACTACTCATCCCATAACCAAACAACATATTTTCATTGCTGAGAAACGCTGTCTCCAGAGCAGTCTGGCTTTCTTTAATTATTAGTGGCTGTGTACACTGACAGCAACATCTGACTTCCTAAATCTTATTAGCTTTTTGATACGTCACTAATTCCAGCAGTTCAGACCTTATGGAGACTGCTGCAGTAACCTTGGTGAAGGACACGCTGCTTTTGCTGTCTAAGACATCCCTCGCAATAAAAACAGCTTCTACATCCATTAGCAATTACACAGACTTTAGTTAATACTTAATGCAGTTCTCGTCATGCCTGGTTAACACAACATGAAAATGAATAACTTTATGGCTACTAATGACACATTTTAAGGTTGAGAGAGCAGCAAAAGATCAGCCTGTATCTTTTGGGGCTGAAAAAAACTAAATGTTTGCAAAGAAAAAGTTTGCAAAAAAATAAAAAAAATACTTCAAACTATGAAACAACAGAAGATCAAATGATCTTGTTTTCAAAATCTTCAGTACATTTTAAGGGCTTTGAACTCTTGCCACTTAATACTTGTAAATGAAACAATCCACTGCAGTGTGAATTGGTGACTAAGCAGTTATTTGTAGCCTAGATCTGTTTTATTTATCAAAAATGCAGAGTGTGCAGTTTCAGGGTAGCCTGGATCCTGAACTCTGGACAAACTTGTCACATCATCTTAGGAGATAAAAAAAAAGGCTCTATCTGTCTGTGTTAAGTAACGTGGAGCCGCAAAACAATACAATATCTATCTGTTTTTGTGCAAACAAGTCACAATGAGCCAAATTACACATTGAAATGTGCAGATTCATGGGCTTTTCTGTTTGCTTAGTGGTCCAAATTTTCAGCTGACATATTAACGATTAGGAATCAGGAGTAAGAGCAGAAGAGGTGTTTCAGCACCTTGTATTCCCTTCAAACTGTGTGTTCCCCAGCTTTGTCAGCTGAGGTTGTCCGACAAGATTGTGTGTTACATCTTTGTATTATTAGGCTGAGATTTCAGAAATCTCATACTGTACCGTGTTTTTGGGTGGGTTCAACTGGGAACAAGAGTGCCCAAGGCACGCTCCTTTGGGAAGCCTACGGCAAAGAACACATGCATGTACAGCCATGGGGGTACATCACTATGTACAACAATGGCTAACACGCACACACACATACACGCATGAAGGCCTAACTGCACATGCATGCACACACACACACACACACACTAACAAGCAGATAATCTACAGGCACACACACATAAACAAAACTTCAAGTAGTGGACCTGACACATTTCACAGTTTATGTATTTTCTCTTTGTTTATTGTCTGGTTTCTGTTATTATCAGCTTAAAATGTTATGTAACCTTTGACCCCAGTTGCATGAGTCAACTCTGACAACAAACGGTTTACTTAAATGAGTCATTGTGTGTTTTTCCATGCGTCTTTCTTTTTTTACTTGTGTGTTGTTTAGACTTGAATAAATATCAGACCAATAAATACAAAATACTGAGGCTAATCAGTTTTCTCAGATACAACAACACATCCTTGTTAAGTGCTTGGTTTACTTGTAACTCTGTGTTTGTAAAACAACACAGTTAAGCAGTCTGTCAAAGGTGATGCATTGGAGTTGTGTTCCCACCTGCAGGATGGCCCCGTAGAGTCGCAGCAGGATGCTCCTCGGCTCATCCCCAACAGTGTCCAGACTGTCAGGGAGGCTGCACAGGAAGAGCTTGTTGCTCAGACCACCCCTAGAGGACAAACATTCAGACGACTAGACATTAGGATTTATTTTCATTTGCAGGAACTCTTTTTTTTTTTTATATTCTCATTGCACTAGTTTCATATAGGTTTCTGCTCCCTGGTGTTCTTTTTAAGATGTAGTCTGTGCAACTTAATGGATCCCTCTAATAATATCCACGACAACTGTACATTTGTTATTAAGAAAGCAAATTGTACAAAGTATCCAGCTCAACATTTCCCTGTAAACTCATACAACCTTACATAAACTGCTGTTACGGTAGCTTTTTTTGTAAGTTCTATGTTGTGCTTTTAAATGAAGAATTCCACAAATAAATACAGCAGAATATAGAGAACATGATTTTAAGAGACCGACACTAAAAGAAAAGACAAATCTATTTGGAAGAACAATCATTTAAATTGCAGCTAACGTAAATCAGAATGCAAGATCACTTGCCATTTCCCAAAACACTTAGTTTAGAATTAAAGGTTGTTGTAAGAATACAAATAAATTATTATTAAACAAATATTTCCAAAGATAAGTTCTTTTTCTACAAAAGCGGTCAGATATGTCCCAATATGTTGGAAAACACGGCATCATTAGCCATGTTTTGCCTTTAAGTGTGAGGTGTTTTGGGATGTTGGACAATTTACAGGGAAATTGCAACAATAATAAGAGACATAAAATGACATTTAGACTTCATTGGTACAAGGGATCATAATCTTGTTAGAGACAGGAGGCTTGATTTCAGTGTTGGTGTGTGGTTATCTCTGAACGAATCACCATTGGGATTAGTTTTAGAATGACATCATGTATTTCCATTACAACATTATTCTATGTTTAACTCTTCACTGGTTTACGCATCATGGTACTGGGCGGTTTTAGTGCCTTCTCATCCTAGCTTTGGCCTTATCCAACCATCTGGGCCTTGCTTTTCATCAAAGAGTTAAATGAATACAAAAGTACCTTATGATGGCGATATGGAAATCTTCCTCAGCCAAGCTCTTCCAGGCTCCATGGAGGAACTCTCTGCACCAGAGATAAGCTTTACGCCGGGTTTCCAGGTCGGGCTTGTCTAGACGGGCCAACTCCTTGCAATCGTCCTCGATGTTGGGCTGGACCTGCAGGGCGTTCTCGGTCACTAGCAACCCCAGCGACAAGGAAGGGGAAGAAGAAACCCCGTTGATAAATTTGGTTTTCATTGTGTTTGTTTTAAAAAAGAAAGAAACAAATATTCTGTGCTGAAGGCTTTCCCGGAGCAAAGATATTAAACTGATGTGTGTCTGGTTTGTGACGCAGGACGATTTTTTCTTTTTTTTTTTCCCCCCCCGTTACAAATTTATTTTCTCTCGATAAATGTATTAAGGACAGAAATTGTAATTTCGTCTCTTTTCTTTATTAGCCTATTCGTTGATTTAAATGCGAATGTCCGTTTCAGCTCTGTTGAGGAGCCAGGTAGAAGATGATCAGCACGAACGATGGTTCACAGAGGAATGAATAACATGAGCAGGATGCGCCGAATTAGAGGAAGCATGGGTAGGCGGGGCACTGGAGGTCACGTGGTACGGCCGCAGCCATTCTCTCTCCTCATTGGTTGGCCTCAGACACAGCCCCGCAGGACCAAAACAAACCGGACGGTGCTTTCAGGAACCACCGGACTAATAACTATTTCACAATAGGCCATCAATAGGCTATATTATTGGTCACATAATTTCGCATTGTTCTCTTTCTATACAACATGATTTTTTTTTTTTTTTTTTAAAGCTAACTGTTTGAAAAATACAAGTCATATAAGCTGAAATATGTTTTGTATGTAGTCAGCATGCTTCTTTTCTCTAAACAATGCTGACACTTAATTCCTTTTGAATACACTTGGTCTTGGTTTGGAAATTATCCATAAATGCCTTCAGATTTGGCAGCATTTAGTCAATTGCCAGATACTAATTGCACAACGTCACAACAAGCACTAGGCCTCCACTAAATTCAGTGTCACACGCCCACAATGGTAGCCCAGCTTGTTCATGCATTGATGGGACTGTATCGGTTCACAACAACAGAAGTAGGCTACTGTTTAATACTTTTTTGTTTTCAAGTGTTTAATAAATGTGTGATGTGTATTTTCTACTGATTACAAGATGCACAGTGGCCTTAAAACACAGATTTGATCATTGTATAGTCTGAATTGGACAAATTATTACCAATTAAGCCTACAAAAACAGGGGAAACTATTCAATAAGCTTTCGAAAATCAAGTCTTCACTGTCTACTCTGTCACTGTCTACTGATCTCAAGTATAAGTGAACATCACAGCAAATGATATTTTAATGATCCCGGTAGAATATGTTTTGAGATAGGGCCCAGGACTTCTGTCTACCTCAAGAAACTAGGCTATATGTTTTTTTAGCCCATCCAGGCCGAGCTCTTGTATCAGCTGTGTAATGAGAGGATGCATGAGGATGAGGATGTGCTTTGAGGCACGTAACCATATGCGTGCAACCTATACCACCAAGCACAAAGTTTACGCGCAGTGCCATCTAGTGGCTTTGGATGGCACACAAAATAGTTTAAGGAATAGGCTACCAATAAACACCATCAGGACCAAAATACTCTGTTCAAAACATAATGATGCTGATGATGATTAAATATGAAACACAATGCCTAAACAAGCAGCAGGGAAAAAGCAGCACAATATTGTCCTGCTGTACACCTTCCACCTTTTAACTTTTATTTATTGTACAGATGTAGCCTACAAAAATATGGACACATTTACATGTATTTTCATATCAAAAACATTGCAGGGGGGGGGGGCAACTAACTTTATAAATATGACATCTCATAAAATAAAGATAATAGAAAGCTGTGGAGAAGAGGACAACGCCCACAAGCGCTACGTGCGACCATAGACTGTAGCGTGCGACACTGTGCATTCCAGCGCATGTTGATGACGCCATCACCAATCAGCCGCAACAAAAACAACAACAGAACTCAGCTGTACGGAAGCTAACTAGCCGGCCTAGTTACTGAACACTGTTTTGTGATATTTTTATTTTTCCGATTTGTGTATGCTGTTATAAAGTAACTAGTATGTTTCGAGTTAAATCAACACTTTTAGTCGATATCAATAATAAGCAGTATTGGCATTTGATTTTAATTTTTCTTTGTCTTCTTTCTGCTGAGTTCTTAGCAAGTTAGCTTTATAACCGAGGACGAGCAGAGCCTTGATTGACCAAAAGGTAACAAATACGATTTTTTTTTTTTTTGATTATGGTGCAAATATTTTCTAAATCTCTTTTAACGCGTTAACGAGTATAATTTGAATTGATTTGAATCAGCTAATATACGTTTGACATGAACATAAATGAAACTATCAGTAAAGAAAGACCTCGACTCATGTTATCAACAGACATGTCACTTAACCTGATTATAATTTAACCCCGTGATAAAAGCGAAAAAGTGTACCACGTCACGTGTACGCTTTTCTTCCAATATTGATCAAGTACTCACAATACAGCTATCATGGCCCCTATCAGTAGTAAATCACAAGAGAACGGGAAACTACGCTATTTATCATTCTTTACTGAATTGAAAATAGCCACCCAACTTCAGAAGTCACATAAATTAAAATGCATCTTCATCAAAGTTGATACAATTGCATTCCAGAGAAATACATTTAACCTGGATCCAAATATTCACAGTTTGATTTAATAGACTTAAGTAACGTGTCTACATGTTCATTTATGTTTATTATTTATTTTTTTGTAGATTTTTTACTCAAAAGTTTTAAACATTATCTTAGCTCTCCAGTTAGACCAAAAAGTATGCCGCTAGTAGTATTCTCTTTTTAATGCCCCAAAGCATTTTCCATTGCTCATGAGCTTATGAACCAGTGGATGTGATATTGTTTTCTGCAACATATATTGAACAGAAATTGGAAAAAAAATAATAATCAGCTTTTATAAATAAATTTTGTGATATGTTTTTTTACTTGTAGGAATATTTATGGCAAAGCAGGTGGAGATTCTGACCTCCATCAATGACCACCACTATAACTCCCTCGTCTTGCGTCATGTCACCAAGAAAAAGACCCCTGGTGCCTGTAAGCAGCCGAAGAAAAACAGTTGACGACTATTTCCCTTTCAACTTCCTGCCGGTGGAGTGCCAGCTGCATGTCTTGTCATTTCTGAATGAGGTGGACAAATGTAGCTGTGCTTTGGTTTGCTTGAGTTGGAGCTGCCTGGTCCGCTCATGGAAGCTGTGGAGGGTGGCTGACTACTCCCGTCGGGGTGCTTTCCACTTGGGTCAGGAGCGTCTGCTTGTTTCCAACCGTGAGTTCGAGAGGTGGAAATCCTGGGTCCACCTCTACACCCACCACCTCATCTCTCGTCGGGCCAGCCTGCTCACGCTGAAGGCCAGCTTTGACCTGGGAGATCGCTTCTACAAGTGGTGTGAGCTGTTGAGTCACCTGCTGGACAACGTGCACTGCAGGGACCTCAGCCACCTAGACCTGAACTGGACCTTTACTCTTCTAGAGCCGCTGGACCTCAGGGTCCACTCCAGTTCCAGTTCACACCAGGACAGCATTACTAAAATGGACCAGGTAATTTATTATTATTATTATTAGTAGCAGTAGTAGTATTTATAATTCAAGTGTACAACGAAGTGGTAATTAAAATTCACTGACCTCAGGAAAGCTTCACACTTATTTAAACCACCCAGCTACTTCACACGGAAATATTTCTACTTTCCTTCTTATCAGGATTCTGAAATTCCTCCTGAGTATGGAAGAGGATAAAACATTGATTGAAATGATTCTTGGGTCTGGTTAAAAGAGTTATGAAAAATCATTTATGAAAAAGTTTCCACTTGAAATCCTATGACCACCCATGTGAAAGTGTTAACCTTCTGGACCTGGATAAAGACAAAAAACACTGGAAATGCTCTTACAGCAAGTGAAGACCCTCTTCAGCTCTGATATGTGAAGAAGCTTATTTACTCTCACCTTTACTTTCAGAACACAGAGAGTTGTACTACAAAGAAAGTTCACCATACGCAGGCTTTCTTTGCATTAGCTGGCTCCACAAAACAAAAAATGGACTGATCAAGAGTTACCTCTTTTATTCAGACTGTTGGAATGAATTGCTATGAAGTATATTTAAAAAAATCCAGGCCAAAACAGCTGTTGCATGCAGCTTTTGTGTTAGCATATAGAGTGACATTGAAGAGATTTTTAACTTAGTAACAGTAAATTCAAGAATTGAACAGAAGTTGACAGTAGTTGCTGTGCCTTCATCCTTGCTTTAGTATAAATAATCTTATGGCTGAGATATAGAATTTTAAGATTGCTTTCAGAGTGCTGTTCAAGCCACTAGATTTACACCCCTTGCGACAGCCCGTCAGGCCTTGTTTCCCATAATGCCTTGCGCAGGAGTGATTGACAAATCTGATTACTTTGTGTTCATAGTTTCAACTAAAAAATGCTACTCATTGTTTTGTGTTGCTAATGCTAGTATTTCAGAAGGATGTTGGTTTGTGCACATACATGTCAGTTTGTGTACATCTGTAGTTTCACACCCCAACTGAGGGGACCATCACATTTCAGGACTGCAGCTGTCCTTTATGGTAAATTATTGGACATTTCAATTTGATATTTTGGTAAACTAGATACGTACAAGAGAGTTTACGATCAGATAATACACTATAATTGCCCATGTATAGTCATGACAGGCCCTGCTTATCACATTAAGGGTTAAGTCATGGCAAAACATCATTATTGTCATATTTCTTATTTTTCCTGCGTAATGGAGGGGGTCCTCTCGCGGCTCACCTGAAGTACCCATGACTGCGACCTACAATTTTGGTGGCCCTTGCTTAGGACTAAAGAGAAAATGAATAGGGCCTAAGACAGGTCCATGAGACACAACACAGGACAGTGTTGAGTCAAAATCAGAGGACAAATAATAGAATCAAAACGTATGTTTAAAAATGTTTACTTACTAGAATATTTTAAATTGGCTCTTTGTTTTTAAAATTACATCACTTTTGCCATCTGGTGATCTCTGCATAGTTGGTCTTAATGTGTGTATTTCAGTATTAGCCAGGAGCCAGGTGGGTTGTGTGTAGGCATATTGAGTGCCTTTATTAGATGACAGAAGTTGTCTATGGTGTGTTTAAGGGCAGGAGTAAGTGGACCTAGAAATATCCACTGGCTCTTTTCAGTGTAGAGAAGACCGCAGAGATGCCATTGGTATGTATTGACTTCACTGTTCATTGTTTGTCTGTTAGATTACATACGTTAAAATATGCTTTAAATGTAATCTTTAATACATTTAGCTTTGTGCCATCTATATTGTTTGTTGATAAGCTTTGATTGACAGTGCAGCACATTATGTGTTTAACTGGTTGTTCAATGTGTGTAGGAATATATGCTGGTTCAGTTTTCTATTAGAGGCTTTGTAGGTAAATGCTTTAAGACACTTAAGATGCATTTTTCAAACTATTTATGCTTGCTGGCATATTCTATTGATGGGAAGTTTATTATGGTTTAATGTTGATTTATGGGTGATAATGTTGTGGTCCGAACACTGTTGCTGGTTATTATCAAAGTTAAAATAAATGTATTATATTATTTATTATTTGGTCCTTAAATGGACAAAGTGGAATATTAAGGTATATTTCATGTACTGACTTAATTCAGCATGTCGTTTCTTAGTATAACTATTTATATAAACTAAAATATGTTTCTTTTCTCATTATTATTGTATTCAATGGTTAAAAACCTGCTATTAAACTCCAGGAAATGGATTGAGCACTGACTGTGTAATAAATATCAAGAAATGTAGATGTAAATGTAGATGAGATCAAGGAGAGACGAATCAGCATTCAGAGAACATCATGATGTCATTGGAGACATATATAGACTTCCATTCAAGGTCAAGGTCAACTTTATTTCAATAGTGCTTTAAAAACAAACAGGGTTTGTACCAAAGTGCTTCACAGAAACGTTATGAAAACACAAATTAAAAGGTCATGGCATGGTTTTCAAAACCAATGTATATGTATGGTTACAACCACAAAAAATGACAGCATATCTCTTTTATTGGAAAATTGTAGATTTCTAAGGCCCAATTTATAATGAAAAAACAGAAAAAGTGCACAAGACAGGAAGCAAAGAAAATACTGAAGCACACAAATTCTAGAAAAAAACTCTGAAGAAGAGGCAGTGTGTCGAAACGTTAGTCCTTTGCACCTTTTTTTAATTTGCCTGAAGTGATTTGTGTGCTCCAGTATTTTTTTTGCTTCCTGTCTTGAAGAAGGTATCCACTGAATTATTTTCTGTACTTTTAAGTCATAATATGCAGTATGTGCAGTTGTCCGGTGGCAAAGCTGTCAATTTAGAAAAATGAAATACAAAAATCATGGATCAAATTGAGAATCATTGTAGCATCAGGAGAACCATAGTCACTTGTTAAACAGACTAAAGTTGGTGCAGATGGTTGATGTGTGATTTGATTTGGCAGGTGACCAGTTTCCAGGAGCTGCTGACCAAACTCACCCACAGCTGCCCACGCATCTCAAAGATGCGGTTACACTTCGACTGGTCTGACATGTCCGTGTCCCTGCTCACCCGGTTTCAGCAGCTCAGAGTCCTTGAGCTCAAATCCTTCTGGGTCTTTAAAGGAGTGACTCCCTCAACTTTACAGACTCTAACAAGGTCACTGCCTAACCTGAAGTCTCTGACCTTAAACATCCTGGTGCCGCTGAGGAACCTGGGCATCTCGTACACTCTGGAGTCTCAGTCATTGGAGTTCCTGGATGTGTCGCCCAGCAAAGGCTTGGTCTTCTCCTGTCTGAAGCTGCCCGCTCTGCGTGAGCTCCGAGCCAAGAAGATTACACAAGGTATCACACTGGACCGGAGGACCAGGCTGAGGATCCAGAGCAGGTGGCCTTGTCTGTACCACGTCCTCAAGGAGGGGACTCCCAAACTCATGGCTCTGAACAATGAGAGACTACTCCCAACATGGAGAGAGGAGAGCTATGGGGAGCTGACGGCCATCCTGGGACATTCCTGTTACTGCATTCAACATCTAGACAGCTGGCTGTGGTAGCAGACTGTACCATATACATTGCTTTTACATGTTCAAGTCTCCATCAGAACAAGACTAATGCAATGAGCTGAGAGACACATGTTGGACATGGTCGCAGATAAAAACGGACACTTGAAGGACTGCAGGCTGTTTCCAGTTCTGAAACAGGAAGTTGCTGTTACTGTTAGAAATTCTTTTCTATGTTTGGTCTATAACTGTTTCATTTTGTGTCCTCCAAAAAGCTGTTTGCACTGTGTTGTGCAGGTCTGGATTCACTTCCATTGGAGCTCTGTGCTGGAAAAATTACAACATAAACTTTATCCGAGCGTCCTGTACTGACAGAAGTGACAAAGTTTAATTTCAACATGAAGTCTTTATGTTATGACAAAAAAAATCAACCAGGTCCAAATATATAAATGTCAGAATATCAAAGCATATCATAAAAAATGAATTCTTAAAACATTGATTTATATCCTCTTTGAGATTACATAAAATGATGCCCTATTAGTTAGTTAATTAGTGACTGACATTTATTGATTGAATGTATTTGTCATATCCGATGACTCCATTCAATGGTTAAAGCCTTAGAATAATCAAGCCCACAATCAGCAGCTACAACAAATGGTGCACATGCAATCAATATTTTAATCAGATTTTAATCTGACCATGGGCCCCAGTGAATACTTTTTGTAGCCTACGTATAAAAACACATTTGTACTCTGTAAGCAAGAGAACAGGACCAAGAGGCTTCTTAAAAGTGACCATGGGTCCACCAAACGATAACCTTCTGAAATACAGCTACAAGCAGCATTGAAGGGGTCCAAGCAGGTTGCAAGAATTTGGATGTTTGTTTTTATCGAAGTGATTCAAAACAATCTCTTGATTTTCCTTTTAAAAGATTTATTGTTTTCATGAATTTCACTGTTACTGCTTCTAATGGATTATTTCCTGCCAAGACACACGGGAAATAGTATTAATTAGACATTTTCACAAAGGGCCATTTTCAACTGGACGTGAAAAAACAACAAATAGACACATTTCAACTTGGCCTGAGGTTTTTTACTTTTTATTTAGTTTAATTTCACATTTTTAAAGGAAAAACAAACATTATGAAAGAACAAAGACAAATACAAGAAATACAACACAGTGGGGCACATCAAGTTTGAAAATAATGGTAATACATATCCAGATTGAAGTCCATTAATGTTATGGCCTGAGGTTTTTTTAAGCCCTGGAGCTTTGCGTCTCCTGATCGTGAACATGAGGCAATGACTCCACATGTGCAGCACACAGTATTTTTTTTACTGTTTACACTTGAAATGCTTTTAACAGTAAAAACATGTGTGCTATAAGATTCTGAAATATCACACATCCTTCAGCTGGTATTGGGTGTTTTATTGAATATCAGTACTGACTCTGTTGTCAGTAAGACACTGAAGGTCACTGCAGATTCATTTGTCATTTCTGAACATTATCTGAAACACCTTTTATGTTTTCCCAAAAATTATGAATGTAAATTTTGGTAAAGTTTGTTGAGTTAAAGATGCTCATTGACAGAGGATATTTTTAAAGATATGTGTATATATATATAGACAAAATATAAGCTCCATGACGTAAAGGTGATTTATTTAGATTTTTGAATGTTGATTTATTGGAATAAGTCTTCCAGCTTTAATCAATCCTTACCATATTGAATGCATACTGAGTCTCAGCACAAGATTCTTTACACCAAATCTTGTATGAATTCTAAACATTTCATGTGTAACCTAACATTCAAACATGCTCACCACTTCAGCTAGAATAGCTGGAGAACATTTTGATTTATGAACATTCATGAAATAAACATGAAGTTTTGTTTATATTAAACAAGATTGATGTATACAGTTCCTTTTGATTTCTTTAGGGCAGCAACAAAGTTCTGGGACAGTTCACTTAATGGTCTTAGAGAAATTTGTAAAATAAATAATTCTGAGAAAAATTCAGCAAAAGGAATCCTAAAATGTAACAATTTTACAGAATAATCATTGAAGCCAAGATGCGGATATATAAAGAGATAACGTGATACTAAACAGTCACTCTTAGTGAAACTATGATGGAGATAATTGCTAAAACTATACACTTATTCATGGTACTACAACCTTTAGGTCTATTCGTGTTTTTTTCTGAGCCTGTGTAGTGGGCGTTAATTGCAACCTATACTGCCAATTTTGCTGAGAAATCATTTGACAGTTTCAGCTGCTCCAACAATTAAAGAATCATTTTTTTTTAAAAAGCAACATAATAGTCACGTTCAGAAAGCAACACTGCTTGGACTCTTAATAATGTGAAACGAAGAGCTGGTACTCTGATTTGGCTGCATACTCCGACTCCCTATACTAGGCTTTTTTAAAGTCTTTATCAAGAAAGCAGCTCACCACGTTCATTACAGGTTATCAGGCTAATCTTGAGTTCACACTTTGTTTTATTGTTTTCCAGAGATGTATTTTTGTTGGATTGAACAATATTTTCACTTTGTGTCTTTCTATGACATTTTGGGATCTAATGACCGAAAAGGTTACAATAAAGAGATTGAAATCCTTAAGTAGAGTGCGTCAGCGGGCACGGGAATCACTTGCTGCAACTTAATCTTTGCGCCAAATATGGCTGATTAAAGTATGTCCTGTTGAGGTGCTTGTTGCTGCCACTGACCGACTCTGTCTATCTTTACTGTCTGAAAGCACTATGGGAAGAAACCCTTTTGAAGTGAGATCATTTTCTTTTAACCAGAAACAGCTTTTCTGATGTTTGTGTTAATGTTTTGTGTTGGATCTAAGTTTGTCCTGCCAAACACTGAAGTTACAAAACAATACAAGATAACAGATCATGGCAGTATTGGACCAGCAAGTTTTTATGTCTTCTAAAGTAAATTATCATTTGTTACGTAAAGACTGTTTCTGGTATAAAAGATCCTCAAGAAAAAGATCCTTCAGTATAGCAGTCCTTCCCTTAATGTTTTCAGACAGAATGAATAATGAGCTGCACCTCTCGGTGCTAAACAAGCACTTTAAGTTGACCTACTTCTACATCTTACAGCTGACCACTGAAGCAATCTACTGCGGCAAATCCACAACGTTTTGTACCATTAAGTCATCAAGGCCCCAAAATATGTGAAAACTAGGCCCATGCTTAAAATACAGGAATTTATCCTTAAAATGAAGGAGGAAATTTGGAAGCAGTCTGCACATTGAAAGTTACTGTTGTCATTGAAAGTTAACTGTTGCTCAAATCACTGCAGTAAACAAGTGCTCAGAGTATAGCTGTTTTTAAATTTGGGGAAATTGTCTGCTTCTCATCACAGGTTCAATTTTCCATGTGTAGTTTAATTTCTTTGTTCATATCTTTTTTTAACATGAGCCCCACCTATTTGCTTCTGACAGCTAAGGAATGATATCAGTGCTTCTGCAATGGTCCTCTTGATCAGTAGAGGTCCCTACACTCCAAGCTTTGGCAATGAAGATTCCTCTCTTGAAGGTGTTACATTATCAACTTGTGTTTACAAATGCACTATTGAAATATAATGTCATTCCAGTATGTATGCTCCTTATTGAACAGGTATCAGAAGTATGCTTGAGTGTATTTATGCTCTTCAGAATATGTCAGTGTTTGTGTGAGAAATGGATGACATAATGAAGCTTTTCCATAAAGAATGAACCTTTATTCACAAGCTTGTGTCTCGTATCCTGTCCCTGCCATGTGTAGAGAAATGTGACATTAAACTGATGACAGCGCTGATCCCAGAGCTTTCCTTCTGCTTTCTAAGAAGAAAATTTGTCTTGGAAGCAACAGGCACGGAAAGATGTTCTAACATCTGGTTTATAGCAAATATTCACATACTAATATGAGTATAGAACACTGTTTAAGTAGCCACTAGGGTTTTTATTATTTCCCTGGTTACACTATCAAGCCTTATGGACTTTACTACAAAGTTTTTCTTCATAGGTGTAAAACCCAAAAAGTGCTCTCATAAGACTCATTCTTATTATTGCATCCCCAGCACCTCATTAATCACAGATGATGTGTAATGCCTCTCAGGAAAAGAAAAAGGCCTCACTTGGCCTCTCCTCCACCTGGCATGCTGTTCCTTTGTGATGATGATTTGCTGTCGTTGTTGCGACATCTCAGTGTTTCAATATGTTCAGGTCGGTTGATCTTCTTGACCCTCCAACAGGAACATCTGTTTTCAGTACAGATACTCTCACCCCACCCAGCCCAAAGCCGACGTTAACTACACTGTTCCAGTGTTTTGCCTATTTGTTTTCCCTTTGTTTCCTCTCCTGATGTGAGGTGTATATGTGTGTAAGTGTGTGTGCACTGGTCATGGTGGTCGTGATTCCCTGAGGTTGGGGCTTTCCAGCAAATACAATGATTTCCCAAATCGCTCTTATCCTCCTTTCTCCTCCTCTTTTTTTCTTCTCTTGTATTCAGCCCACTCAACACTCCTCCCTTCATACTTCTTGTTGGTTTGGAGTTTGTCAATCGCACAAGATCTGTGTTCGCATGCAACTTGGGAAACCATCATCCTTCCCCCCAGGGTTGAGTTTTTTTTTACCTGGACGTGAAAGGGCAGCAGTTGGAGGGAATTTCACTGCAACCTGGACCTCAGGAAGTGTTCACCTGCTATAAGAAGTTGTGACACTGATATTCTTCTTCTGAAGGATTTTGCTCTACCAGCAGCTCTTGCATCCAGTGAGGCTTGTAATTCTCATGGTCCAGGATTTATGCACATAGAAAGGGAATGCGGGGGAGTTTCTATGTGTGTGTGTGTGTGTGTGTGTGTTTGTGATGGCTTGGACAGTAAAGTGTGAGGATAAAGTGTTCCTTGAGGTTAACCTAACCCCTGCATTAGTGGCAGGACCACAGTAACTACCTCCAGATGTTTGAGAGCACAGTCTGATAATTATGACGAAGCAGATGAACATCGCCCTCCTCACTCTATAATGCTCACTCTTTGCTCCCTGTCAGCTAAAGTTAATGCTTAATCTTAGCACCGACCCTTTATTTCGAAGGCCAAGCCCTGTTTATGGGAGGGAGGTTACTTTCATACAAAGGTCAGTTATTGCAGATTGGAGACTCACACGCTCAGGGAGTCATTTGACTCATCTCTAACGTCGAGTGACAGAACCTTCAGGAGTGACCAAAAGAAGCGGCCATCATGGCAAAAAAATCGTCTGTATCCAAGGGTATTGCCGCTGCCTTTGTCATCCTGACCGTCTCTGCCGTTGTCGGCATTGTCACCATGGTCATTTTGTACAAAACTCAGATTGCTAAGATGAACCCGACACCCCGGCCAACCATCTCAATCACCACCCCAGGACCACCACCTGTCATGCGGCTGCCAACAAATCTGATACCTCAGAACTACAAGTTGGTCCTCCAGCCTCACCTCTACACAAGAATCATCGAGGAGGTAAATGTTACCAGTCCAAACCAGACAATGCTTTTCACAGGGAACTCTACTGTTGACTTCCACTGTGTCCAGAAGACCAGCACCATCTACCTTCACAGCTTGGACCTGGCAGTTTCTGGATCGGTGGTGATGGACAAAGACAAAAATGAGTTGATACGTGCTTCCGCACTGAAGTACCATGAGGATGGGAGTAACTTCCTTGAGATCCAATTGAGTGATGTGTTGGATGCTGGAGGAAATTACAGTTTGTTCCTGACTTTCAAGGGAGAAATCTCACAAGGCCTCGAGGGCCTGTTTTTAAGCACATATGTTGACGGTCAACCAGCTCATGAAGAGGATACTGATGTAGACAGGTAAGAAAAAAAACAATATATTTATTTTATAGAACAATAAGTACAAGGTGTCTCCCAGGACACCATGAGAGTCCTCCTTGGGTCTTGTTCTACTCATGGTGATTATCTGTTAAAATGAAGTTTTTCTTTAATGCTGGTACAAAGTGCTTGCTCATTGATTAGAGCTAATATACCCAGGAGTCCCAACAGACTGAGCAGTAGCTGTGTCAGTTGAGACTTGGGTTGGGAAGCGGAAGGTCGCTGGTTCAAATCTCTGTCAGAATCAAAGGATTGAAGTTGGTGTTGGTTGCTGGAGAGGTGCCAGGTAATTTCCCATGGCACTGCAGAGGTGCCCTCTAGCAATGCAACGGTCCAACTGTTCAGGCAGTCTATAATATGCAGCCCATCACTCTGGTGAACAAGCTTAAACTATTCAGTTGTTCTATAAAGACACATTGCCAATGTATGGGCACATTGTTTAGGTTCCACAGAAACTGAAAGAAGGTATGTTTTAGACCACAGCCAATAAAAGGAGGTAAAAAACCTCTTATGTAACATCCACAAAAATTCTGTGCTGAGATTGAAATGTATTGTGAAGCTGTATACTTCATTTATTTAACCTATGAAGACAAACCTCTGTACAGGGATTTATTTTATTAATCATCAGTGTTAGTCAGGTAGGCTTAACCTGCTTTACTTCATAAGCTAACTTCCTGCTTTATTGAAGACTTGATTTAAGACAAATGTATTCTTAAATAATATAATAATATATAATATATCAACTGAAAATAGTAGTCTTAGTTTTTGCAAACTTGCTCACAGTAAGATTTATTTTAGCCACCAGTTGGTCCCCCTCTCTAGCCAGGAGCAAATAATAAGGTCTAAATCACTCCCAATTTGGCTTAACTTTTTCAACAAAAGGCTACGTCACTTTAAGTCACTTAGCACAAAAGGTTTTTTTTTTTTTTTTTTACTTATCTTTCATAAAACCAAGTGAGACCATATGTGAACATGAAGTTTCTTAATACAATTTGATTCTATTGCTGTTAAATTCAAGTTCAAGTTGAACCAAAATCCTTGCTTCGCTATTATGATATTAAATATAT